TTTCTATCTTCCAAGGAAGTAAGTCCTAATTTTGTAGTCTATCTCGTAACTCAGATCTCTTAGAGGTGCCATCTTGTGTACGGTGCAGTGGCATGGATCCCATGCCACTGCACCGTACCAAAGACTTAATCTTATGATTGTTATAATGATCTTTGCCATATCTTCGTCCACATTCACGAATGGCCTCCTCATGTTCCCAATCAGTCCTAACATTTGTGGACCTTTTCATTTATATGATCATGTGGGTTTAGGTTACTATTTATGATTACCCCAAGATCTTTTTCCCTGTCAGCTGTGATATTGCGGTCTCCTAATCTATATTGGAATAATGGGCGATTCCCACTTTCTTCAAACCTGACTACGTGGCTCATTTCCCATTTACAACTCTATGTGAACAAGTTCTCGATGTCACTTTGGAGGCATTGACATGAGTTGTCTGTTATCCTTTTTTGCATCTTCGTGTCACCTGCAAACATATCCAGATAACTACTGGGTTATGTTCGACTCTAAATCTTTGACGATAATAGTAAACATAATCGGCGCCTACACCGATACTTGAGGCACTCCGCTGGTTACTCGTTGGCGTGTAGAATGCTTCCCTCTGTGATCATGTCTTTCATCCATGCGAGTAGTTTGCCTTTTACTCCATCTAAGTGTTTTGATTTCCAAAGTAGTCTTCTATGAGACACAGAAAAAGCCTTTTTGAAGTCCAAGTACACACAATCCACCCAGCTGTCTCTTTCTTGTATTAATTTAGATACTCTATCATAAAAAACAGAGGAGATTTGTTACACACATATATGTGTATCTGTGTGCGGGTGTTTGTGTGTATGGATGCATGTTCGCTTGCTAGCTTATTTTATTCATTTATCTATGGACATATTAAAAACATTTTACAGATTGACAAGTATCCATTTTTTTATATGCCAAGATTTCATACAAATCTGCAACCTTCCTTCTACAGAACGAAAAGAGAGGATGATATTTGCCTGCAAGTGGCTCTTCCTGGCTACCTCTTCCACTACATCCCCTTTTACACTATGGACCGCATTCTTTACTACCATCACTACTTCCCTGCCCTCCAGTTCTCTTCCATGCTAACAGGTAAAGTTTGTTTATTGGTGTATACATGTACTTTTTTTTACCTTATATGTGACAATAACTAAGAGTTAATTAATATGTACTTAAGAAAGAGAAAGGTGCAGAACTGGTCTTAATGATCTCCTGATAAGTTCACATCTGAATGAAACTACCACAGCATATTGACTCTATAATCCACTGAATCCTACATTTCAGCCGTAGTATTTGGTTATGTACTTGAATCACTGGATACCTGGTTACCTATAAGGAAAGCACGTCTAGCTTTCCACTGGGCCACTGGAGTTTTCTTTGCCATTGTCCTCTACAGGTAAATAAAAACAATATTTTTTTCTTGTAAATAAATCTTATGGATTACCAGACTAAGCAGCATATTTTGAAAATGACAACCATTTTGGATCATGAGGCTTGTTATTCCATTCCTCATATTATCAATTCATAAAGATTTTCATTTTTTGAGCATATCATTTGAAATAAAATTGATATCGATTATTTTGCAAATTTTTTTATTGTCATTTTATACCACTTGTTTTCTTTGTTTCCAGCTTCCACTTGTACTGTTATGTCGGATATGGACACCCAACTGTCAGTGGCTTCAACCCTGACAATTCCACTTTCAGAAATATTAGATTCTTTGATTCTTGGGAAATTTAGGAACTAAAAGATACCATCATATAGATTTATATTTAGTTAAAAGCATAAGCATTGTTATATAGTGATATAAGGGCATTTTGTAATTGTTTTGTATGTGGGATTTTTTTATTACTTGCGTTGCCATATAACTGCCATCCAAGACTAACTGTGAGTGTATGAAATAAATGTGATACTATATTTATCTTTATTTTATATTCCTGACAGAAGATGGTGTTCAAAATAAATTCTTCAACATGGTTTATAAAGCTAAATCAGTCAGTCATTCACATAATCTGCTGTGAGCTTTGTTGGCAATGAGTATTCTCCTGTTTGTGGTCTGAGCAAAGGAGGCTACTCCACAAAAGGTGGTCCATACTGTCCAGAAAATTGCATTTCATTGTTACAAAGAAGTAAGCTGAATTTAAGATTCTGAAATCTTTGTTTCATTTGTAAAAAGATTTTGTCTTCATATCTTTATTCAAGGCTACTCTTTTTGCTCAATCAATTTAGTTCTTGAATGTAATCATGATTTCTGCTGCCATTCTTTCTTCATTCATATCACTATTTACTTAATAGAGCTACTACTGCTTGTGTGTGTTTGTTTCTGTGTATTTACAGGACACTTGCACTGAATAAAGTTTACCCAAGCAGTATGCCCATCCTGAACACACACATTTTGAACAGCCTTTCTAATCTTATTTAAAAGTAATTACATCAAAATAAATGTTCCCTTTATATTTTCATACCTAATAAATAAATGTAAACTCAATAGTTCATGAAAATTAATTCTAAACAAATTGAAACATCTCTGCAAAATTTATTTCTCTTACTGTTAACAGTAGTTTTCCACTAAAAGGTAAAATTAAGGTTGGCAGAAAATGTATAATACTGAAATTGTTAAAGGAATGTTCAATCAGTCCAATGAATAGTGAAATTATACTGTTTATACAGTGAACAAATCATAAGCTGACCATAATCAGTGTGTGAGAAGTAAACTCTGATGCATATATAGAATACATTTGGAACAGCTACATTTATCATTGATCATTTGAGATAACGATCAATTTGTTATATAGTAATATTCTGCTAATACACTTATGCCATATAATCATACTTGGAAAATGAAATAACCTTTATAAAATTTGTGCTTCATATAAAAAATATTAACATAAACACAAAATAAACACACTTGTATATAGAGAACTGAGCTTAAAATGGGTATTAATTTTATTCATAGTCTAAGTTGTACTTCAAGGTATGAAAACAAACTTAAAAATTATGGAAATAAAGTTTAAAACTTTTGGCATGAACTATAAACCATGGCAAAAGAGGATGAGGATGATCAACATTAATGATGATAATGACCAATAGTAACGGGATAAAGTCAGAAAGGACTCCAGTATAAAAATAACAATCATATTCTCCAAAATAGCAATGTATTGTAAAACCAAAACAGTTTGAGCAATTTTATGAGATACAAAATAATTTACCAAATTAAGTTTTTATGTTGTTGATTTCACTGTGGATGAAAGAAGTCAGTAAAGAATATACTCCAAGCACAAGTCTTGCACCACATTGACACTTCAAAGGTTTCTGTATTCAGAATGGCTGATCTAGCATCAACCGATTCCATACAACCAGGGCAATATTCTGTCCTTCGTCTTAGCTTTATACAGCGGACCGGTCTCTCGGGATGTTTCTGCACTTCTAGATACTTTGAGAGGGAAGTCGTTTTGTGTTCCAGCCTTGCTATTTTTACAGATTAGGTAAGGGCTTGTAACTCTCTTTTCGTTTTAGTTTTTCACCTGTTAGTGTAATACATTTTCTCTCTCTTCTTTTATAGTACTATCATTTACTTTTTTCCCATCTCTCTCTCATCAACAGCTTGGAGTGATGAGGTATTCATACTCTCTTCCAGTACCTCCTCCTTGATATCCAGGCCAATAAAAGGGCTATCAATGTCATGGCAGATATCATCCATCTGACATCCACTGTCACTAGGAGACACTGGGCTTTGCTTGATATGATCATTCACTGTTTCATATTGAGTCACAGGAAGTTCCCCTTTGCTGATGCTGACTTCATTCTCTAATTTTAGGTTGTCTTCCAATTCACTGAAGTCTCTCTTTCTATAACCATGGTTTTGCTTAATTGCTCCTCTCCTAGCAAATTCACACTGCTATCCTTTGATGCACACTCCTTGCCTACTATCTTACTTTTCTCCGTGGACGAATTATCTTTCTCATGTATGATTGTTCCATCACATTTGCCATTGGCTATCTTCTCCTTAGGCATGTTCTCTACTAAAGAAGTTTGTTCCACACATGCTTCAGCCACTGGTGTTGTGGAAAGTGTGCCTTCCACTTCTTTATTTCCAGATTTTTGGTTTGTTACATTTTCCTTTGCATTTGCTTGGTATTCTAAAACATCACATGGAGCAATTCTCTTGGCCTTGAGGAGTCTCTGAAAGGTTTTATGACTTGCATTTATATGGGCAGTATCTTGTTGTACAGCATGTTTCTCTTTTCTTATATGATTTAGGAGAAGTTTGAAATTCTTGAAATTCTGGAAACAAACTTTGCAAATATTTTTCCCAGTACATTTTCCTCTATGCTTTTTAAAAGTCTTTAGATATATGAAATAAGTATTACACATCTGACAAAAAAATAGAGTATGAAGGCCTTTTGTTGTCATTTTCTTTTCCGGTTTGATTAGGTCCATTGTTGTTGCATTCATCGGGCGGAAAATTTTTTGTATGTTGTGAACTCTTTTCAAACTCCTCTTCTAAGACATCTGGAAATGGCAGAATATGTGCTTGACTGTTATATGCTGTAGATGTACTACATTGATATGAGAAGAGTTGTTTTGACTCTTTAGTACTGCTTTCCTTTCCCTTGACTGTTCTGCCTATTTTCGCTATTATTCAGATGCTGCTTCACAGAAAGGTATTCACTTGTAAAAACTCTGCCCTCTCTACACAGACTAATATACTCTGCCTTTGACACTCTCCTCCAGTCTTCCTTGGCCACAACTTTATGTTGGCTGACACTGATGTGCCTATGCAGGTCTGCACGGTTACTGAAGGACCTTTTGCAAACTTTGCACATTGGATAAATTCTGCAAAGTTTTAAATGTTGTTGGAAATCGTAATTATTGGTGAAATAAATTTCACATGAATCACAATACTTCAGGGAGTAAAACATTGTGCTATGATCGTTGCTTGTGTTATCATTCAAGAGCCACTCAAATGGAACACAATCTTCTTTGCT